AGGTAGCAAAGTTTGAAATGTTCTTATGGTCAAAGGTCTTCATTATTGAAGTCACTCTCAAAAGCTAAATTTCACTGAACTTTCATAGAGGAAGCAAAGTTTGAAATGTTTCTTATAAACATTTTCTTTCAATGGCGAATTCCTCAACCAAGATGGGAAATTCACATGACTATTAGATATGGCCAAAAATAAAAAATAAAAGACAAAAGAAAGAAAGAAAGAAAGAAAATCTTTGAAAATAGTAAAAAAACTGCACAAAGTAAAACATCCACTCAACTCATGTAGATGGAGAAAAAAAGAAAAAAATGACCAACAATCTAAAAAGACTCAGTGGTAATCTCTTTTTAGTGATGTAGTAAAATAAAAATTTTTGAATTTAGGAAATAAAGATAATGTTGGAGAAATGTGCAAATAAAGATATCAATTTTATACTTTTTTCTATTTAAAGATGGTAATTTTGTCATTTTTTAAATAATGATACCAACTTTCAAATTTTTTTTATTTAAAAATGTCAATTTTTAACTTTTTTTATATAAGGTTATCAGCTTTTAATTTTTTCTATTTAAGAATTAATTGGATGATGATGTTAACGTGGCAAATAAACTTTTTTAATGGGAATATTGAAAGTTAACATTATTTAATAAAAAAAATTAAAAGTTGACATTTTTAAATAAAAAAAAGTTGATAATTGACATTTTTTTAAAAAAGTTGACAAAATTAATATCTTTAAATAGAAAAAAGTATAAAGTTAGCATCCTTGTTCGCACCTTTTCTCTGTTGAAGTATATGAATGGAAAAAGATAGAACAAAAGAATTAGATACATGTACATCAAGAGATTTAGGAAAAAGATTTTTTTACTAAAAAAAAAAAAAAGAGATTTAGGAATGAAGAGAGTGATCTCTTATCACATACCTCATTCATTAGATATAATAAAAAAATCTAATACATTAATTTTACTAGAAAGAATGGGAAATCACTCAATGAAAAATTAGTTTTGTAGTGGATATAAATAAATGGCTCTAAAAACACTTTAATGGTTGAAAAAAAAAAATCAGGGTCTTTCTGTTATATGGAAAAACTATTGTGTGGTATGAAGTGTACTGAAGTGCACAATAGAGATCATTTGATAAGATAAAGTGTAGATTTTCTGATAGTGGGAGCACTCCTCCATCTAACCGTCCTTATTTTGCAATTCGAATTGTAAAACAAGGAACCCCTATTTCCATACTAAAAATTACCAATACATCAAAGTCAACAATTTCTATTGTCATTTGATATATATATATATATATACATATATCGTAATAATTAATCCATTGATTAATGATGAAGGTATAAATTCCTCCTTCCCTTGATAATCTCATCTAAGAGTAAACCAATTTGTTACAATCTTTTTTTTTTTGATTCATTTTTAATGAAATAAAGAATTAAAGAGAAAGAAAAAGGAAGGGCTAAAAGGAAGGGCTAAGGGCTTCATCCCTACATTTTTTAGATGAGAAAATAACTCTTTTGACTAAGCTGTGACTTTTAGATAAAACTTTAGTGTTGTATTATGTACTTGCAGGGTTAATTTTTGGATGATTCTATAGCTACTGGATGTGATGGGTTTGAGCTACTCTTTGTACCTCCTTAATATGTTTTTTTTTCTGATAAAAAAAAGCAAAAAAAAAAGACAAATGATACATATAATTGTCGTGGAAAGTGGAAACTGCTGAGTTGAACCAATTAATAATGTGCGGGACTCATTTATGACACAACTCAGAGTCATGGAATAGTTGCTTTTACTTACTTTACTTGTCTATATAAAGGTTTAAGGCGTGTTGCTGGTAATGCACGGAGACAGTAGCAGTACCTAGTGGTTGATCCGAGAATATTTTGATGGAGTCGAAATGGTTAATGCGTGTGTTATTTACACTCTTCTTATTAGAAGGGCTACGGTGCCAAGGGTGTTGGGATGAAGAGAGAACTGCTCTCCTCCAACTCGAGCCTTTCTTCACAAAATCTTGGCAGCTGATGAGAAACTGGGAGAGAGGAGAGCAAAATTCAGATTGTTGTCAATGGGAGGGGGTTGAGTGCAACTCTGCTACTGGACGTGTCATAACGCTCAATCTCAATTACTCATCGTCCGAAGAATTTGATGGCTATTGGCATTCATCATATAGCTTTATGGAATTGGAGAATGTGTATCTAAATGCGTCTTTGTTTCTTCCATTCGTGGAATTAAAGAGTCTCCATTTGGCTGAATATGGAATAGCTGGTTGCATTGAACATGAAGGTTTTAATCTATCTTTCAACTTAATTTCATCTTTTACTTAAAAAAAAAAAAAAACCCATTTGTTTATTGTTTCATCTTTATATATTTTTTTGGTGCAATTTCAAATTTTTATATTTGTGGTTCCCAAAACTGAATTAGTAATTAGCTTGAATGTTGTAGGAAATTGTTTCGTAGGTTTTGAGAGACTTTCTAAGTTGAGAAATTTGGAAATCTTTAATCTAAAAATGCAATTAATTGAACAATAGTATCTTATCATTTTTTAGTGAGTTGTCATCTCTCAAGTGTTTATATTTAGCCAACAACAGATTCCAAGCATCTAACCATGCTTATGGTATAATTGTGCATTTTTGACTTATAGAAACTTGTTCCCTTACTATTTCATCTTAATATTTCTGTGTGGCTTCAAAACTAAATTAATAATTGTACATATTGCAAGTTTCAAGAAACTTTCTAAGTTGAGAATTTTGAAAATCCTCGATTTAAATTACAATATGTTGAACAATAGTATCTTATCATCTTTGAGTGAGCTTTCATCTCTCAAGTTTCTATATCTAGCTGATAACGAATTTGAAGCATCCAACCGTGCTGATGGTAAAATTGTCCATTTTTTACTTATAGAAACATGTTTCCTAATTGTTTCATCTTAATATTTATGTGTGGCTCCAAAATTGAATTAGTAATTATATGTATTGCAGGTTTTGAGAGACTTTCTA